CCATTTTACTCCATTATACAGCAAAAATTCCGATTTATTCATTTATTATAAAAATGGAATTTTTCCGGGTCTCTGACATGAGGTTACCATATATAAAAAAATTCGATCACGACAGTTAGTTTAAATTTTTTTTTGGCGGTTAACTTTTTGAATTTTAGATCTGTTCACTTGAAAGCATAGAGAAAAAATGACTGCACCACAAAATCCTATTACTCGAGCTATTTGGGATGGTACCCTACCTATAAAGTTCTCGCTTGATGGTACCGAGGCAGCAGAGTTGGGTGCCAAAATCTCGGTAGAACCTTATTTTGTGAGTTTGCGTTCTTGATACTTGATCTTTCTCTCGAGAATTTTATTGATGATTAATGATTTTTTTATCCCCGTTGATGATAAATCGTGACAGATAGAAGCTCCACGATGTTCATACTTTCCTTTATTAACGAGTCAAATAAGAAAATATTTCGTAGACATGGCTTTAAATTTTATCGGTGACGACGCGGAAATCTGGTATGACGTCGATGGCATCCCGCTTAAATGGTAGGTTTTGGTCCGAATGTAAACCTTCCTCTTCCGATCGTATTGAATTAATTGCCCTTTTTTAAATTATAGGCATTACCCGATAGGTCTTTTATTTGACTTGCATACCGGATATCGACCTGATTCTAACAGCCCACCACCTTTACCATGGCCGGTTACCGTCCATTTCAAGAATTTCCCCTTGGATAAATTGATACGCGCTCAGGCCATTGACGCAACTCAGGATTTTTTCATGTCAATGATCAAGGAGGTAAGACTAATTCAAATTCATGTGTCGACTTGTCTTTTTTTTTTTAAAAAAAAATTATTTTGAAGATTGACTTTGTACGTATTTGAAAAGGCTGATTTTCTTCGGAACGGTAGCACGAAGAAAGTGATGAATTTATCGAAAAATGATCAGACACAACTTTGGGATGGGTTATGGTCCAGTATCCTTTTTTTTTTTTTTTTTATCAAAAAGATAAACAAAATATTTTGTACACATTTCATCTCTTAGAAAAACCCTGTTAATCTTTAACCGTATTAAGGTTCCTCGCAAAAATATCGTACAGAGAATTATGATCGTTTCTGGAGCGTAAATTATCGTCTCGTTATCAACGATGGACAATCACCGAGACATATACCATTACGGATATATTTACCCGATAACTGTCCGGTTATACAAGAGCCAATTGCCCCTTTAGATGAGAATGGCAAGTGAAAATTTCTCTGAGAAAAATTTTTCGTGTCGGGAACTTAAATCGTGTCCCCATGTTTAATCAATTTGGTTGATGTTTTTATAGGTAATCCGCTTACGTTGGGTGAAGTGTTGCATCAAATCCTTCCAGATCTATTTCCTTCTCCTTTACCCACGGAAAATGCATTCGCCGCTCCCGTTATTCATGGTGTTATTCCGCAATTAAATATTC